ATACAAAAAGAGAAAGAGATTTTCCAGTTTTGAACAACCACTCCAACAGCTATGTGGAAGATGCCTCAGGGGAGTGAGACTGGAGGTGGAAAGACAAGTTAGAAAGAAGGCTGGGATGAAAAATGACAGATCTTCAACCAAGGCCATGGCTATAGGATGGGGATATATTTTAAAAGCCAGACTGATGGTAATAAAGTAGTACTTAACAATACAAGCTTTCAAGTCTGACAGACGGAAGTATGAATCCCAACTCTGCCCTTTACTATTTGTGTGACCTTGGGCAAGTCATCAACCTTAGAATCAATTTCCTTACCTTGGAAATCAGGACAATTGCAAAGCCTAACTTATAGTTGTTGAAAGAATGAAAGAACATATTAAAATGACACAGCCCACCACCAAGCACACAGGAATGCACAGCAAATAAGTACTACCATCCTTGGCATCACTAACCAGGTATAAGTCCTGAAACAGCACACAATTTCTCTGGGGCTTCTGGCTTGCTATTCCTTTTTTAGAGGGGAGGGGGTACCAGGGATTGAATTCGGGGGCACTCAACCACTGAGCCACATTCCCAACCCTATATTGTATTTTATTTAGAGACAGGGTCTCACTAAATTGCTTTGTGTCTTGCCATTGCTGAGGCTGGCTTTGAATTCAAAATCCTCCTGCCTCAGCTTCCCGAGCTGCTGGGATTACAGGCATGCACCACGGTGCCCGGCCTGGCCTGCTGTTCCTATCAGGCAGCAGAGACAGGCAAAAGTAGGTTAGGAAGGAGACCCAAAAGAGAATGCGCTCATTTGTTGAGTGCGAAGTGCCCACTGTTGGAAGATACAATCTTCTATGGGTCCCTGGCACTCACCATCTTGCTGTGTGAGCCAAGAATATAAGACCCTGACTTCTTTTTACCTGAACCACTTTTCAGGGTTATTTTTGTAGCAAGCAACCTTGAAGGATGAGTTTCCTTAAAGGTGACAAAGAGTAGACATGCTTACTGCTTCCGCAATAAGCAGTAGATCCCCCAGCTCAGTGTTTCTCAGCTATAACATAAACCAGCATCATGTGGAGCATCCGTCTGGGCTCATTATTTTGCCCCTGAGGATCCTGGAGGCAAGAGGAACTGATACAAATATGCTGATGCTCATGCTACTTGCTGGGCCCTGAGCAATAAAGTTCTAGATCTCTGTCTGGCCCTGCTGTCTTGTGTCTTCTGCCAAAAATTGTATATCAATGACAGGTTAATTTATTACTTTATAAGCTGAGAGACTTGAAGTCTTCAGTGTGTGCATGGCAGATAAAACCATAAGTACAAATGACATTGCCTAGAGCCAGGTTTAGTGGTGCAAGTCTATAATCCCAGTGACTCAGGAGGCTGAGGCAGAAGGATCACAAGTCAGAGGCCAGCCTCAGCGGCTTAGCAAGGCCCTATGCAACTTAATGAGACACTGTCTCAAAATGAAAAAAAAATTAAAAGGGCTGGGAATGTAGCTCAGTGGTAAAGCGCCCCTGGGTTCAATCCAGAGCACAAATAAGTAAATAAATAACATTGCCAAGAAAGAGGTCTGAGGCAGCACTCTATGTGGCACCAACAAATAAAGGTCAAGGGTAAGAAAAGGAGCTCCAGAGGAACTCAAAAAGGAGACTGAGGGCTGAGGTTGTAGCTCAGTGCTAGAGCGCTCACTGAGCATGCATGAGGCACTGGGTTCAATCCTCAGCACCACATACATGTAAAATAAAGATACTGTGTCCACCTAAAACTAAAAAAATAAATACTTTTTTAAAAAGGAGACTGAACTGGGAATGTAGTGGTAGAGCATTTGCCTCACATGCCCTAGGCCCTGAGTTCCACCCTCAGCACTGCAAAAATAAAGAAGGAAGGAAACCTAGAAGAGAGTAGGTCCCTACAAGCCCAGGGTGTAGAGTTTCAATCAAAACAGAGTAGGTAATAAGATCAAATGCTTCTTAAGATCTAAGTAAGATGAAGACTGAAAGTGGCCACTGATTTAGCAACTAGGTCACTGGCAAGAAGTATTTCAGTGATGTGGTATGACCAGAAGTCAAATTGAAGAGATGAATGGAGGCAAAGAAATGTAACAAAAAACATAAGGTATTTCTAGAAATCTTGGCTGAAAAGGAAAGTGAGGGCAAATGAAACTCTTTGTTTTTTGTTTTTGCAGTTGGGGATCAAACCCAGAACCCTGTGTATATACAAAGCAAGCATTCTCCCACTGAGATGTACCCCCATTCCTGAATAGAGGTATGTAATTTGAGTGATCATATATTGAGAACAGAAAAGGAAAACAACGACAACCCCAAAAAAAGTTAAGAACAAGGAAAAGGAGGACGGATTCAAGATTCTGAAGGAGAGGCGAGGAAGGCCATTCAGACTCCAGGTGAAAGGCTGGTCTTCCCCCACTGAGATGGCATTACACAGCCTCAAGCAGGCCAACCTGCTAACTCAAGTTGTATGGCCCATATGGTCTGTCTTTAGGTGAATGGTGCCCTATCGCTACGGAGAGACTTAGCAGGTTTCCTTAATGGCCATTTTGCTGGGTGTCCAGCAAGCCCAAGATAAAACACAGAGTGTATTTCCCAAACTGGATTATTTTTTTTTTGGTACCGGAAATTGAACTCAGGGGCACTCGACCACTGAGCCACATCCCCTATTTTGTATTTTATTTAGAAACAGAGTCCCACTGAATTGCTTAATGCCTCACCATTGCTGAGGCTGGCTTTGAACTCAGGATCCTCCTGTCTCAGCCTCCCTAGCCGCGGGGATCACAGGCATGCACCACCATGCCCAGCCAAACTAGATTCTCTTGAGGTGCCAACAGGTATGTTCTGCATACAGGTAAGTTTAGAAAGTGTTACCCTAAACTCTATAAAAAGCCAGTTAGTAGAAAGACTGAGTGTGCTCTGCCAGCAAGAATGGACCTTTGGAGCCAGGCGTGGTGGCACATGTACATAATCCCAGTGACTCAGGAGGATGAGGCAGGAAGATCACAAGTTTGAGGGCAATCTGGGCATCTTAGCAAGACCTTGTTTCAAAATAAAAAATGAAAAGGGTTGGGGACATAGCTTGGTGGTAGAGCACTTTTGGATTCAATCTCCAACACTACACACACTGGAAAAAAATAGATCTTTGGGAATGGGTGTCCAAAGGGAAGAGAAGTCAGCTGGGGGAGATATAAGGTTTCACCCTCAAGGTACTCAGGATAGAAAAGACTCCTATGAGAAGATACCATGATGCACTAAGTAGGAAAATTAACTCATATTTGCTGGACATCTCTGTGAAGTTTTATATTGACACAATTTTTTCCTTGGCCAAACTTAAGTTCCTGAAACTTCTCTTAGGCCCATCTATGCACTTCTTTGTAAAATTCAGTTTTAGCAAAGAACCCTGCTAAGTTAGTTTACCAAGAACTCTGCATATCTGATTCCTGCCCACCCCCATATCAAATCACAATCAATATCTGATCAGGTTCCTCATCCCCCACCATTCCCCCAGGTGATGCCTGGCCACCCTGGCCTATCTTCAGCAAGAATCCTGCTGGGTCCATTTTGCCAGAATCCCCCTTACCTCTTAGTAATTTTTCATCCACTAACACCCACCCCCACTCTTCTCCGTTAGCTTTAAATTTCCGCTTGTCCATGTTGAATTCAAGTTGAGCCCAATCTCTCCCTCCCATTGAAAAATTCCATTGATGACAATCATGAATAAAGTCTGCTTTACCACTCTTCACAAAGTATCATTGAATAATTTTTTTTTTCTTTAAAACGATCCACCTATTTTACTCTCCCAATTCTTGAGGCAGACTCAAGGACTTGCCTGGTACTCTGGGCTTAGTAAGTGATGGAGTTCAGTTCTCTAGATTTGAGATCTAGCTCTCCTGCCCATACAATTCAGCTCTCCTTAGACCTTAAAGCAGCACCAAGGGTCTGGGCTAGAGAAGGGTCATACAATTGCCGACCCCTCTTGCAGCCGAGACCAGGGCAGCCACCCAGGCCTGCCAGGGTAGCCTGTGGTCTGTCAGAGAAGGTCCCGATGTACCTTAGCCTTCTCAGTGGCAGGTTCATTATTGACTTTCCAAGTACCATCAGCTCCCAGGGTCCTGGTCCCTTATAGTTGGGTCTGGAAGAAGTGGCCAGGGAAGAAGGCAGCAGTGGATCTATTTGCAAGCATATCTCTCTTTGTTGTACTGGAGAGTAAGAACAAGAGAAGAAGGGAATTCCTCACACCTTTCCAATCCAGATCCTTTGAGAGTCTGATGGAAGCAACACAGCCTCTCCATAAAAGGGCACACATACACACACACACACACACACACAAACACACAACCGTTTACTGAGTTTCCAAGTTCATACACCAACCACCACCACCCGCGACCCCCAATCAGGCCAGGCCTCTAAGGAGCATACATCAGAATCACCCAAGATGCTAACTAAAAACGCCCATCTCCAAGCCCCACAGCGATTTTCATTCAGTTGGTCTGGAGCAAGGCCTGGGAGGCTAGGCTTTTGACCTGCGCTTCGGAGGATTTTGGCGCTGTTGTTCACAAGAGCCACTTTTGAGAAAAATCGACTTTGGGGCTGAGGCAGCCCCCTCCCCCATGCTCCAAACTTTCCCCATCTAGCTGGCGTACCAACCTCCTCCCATTATCTCCCGCGGGCCTCAACCTCGCCAGGGGTCGTGGAAACCTGTGGGAGACCCTGTGCAACTGACCCTGCCGCCTGGCCGTCGCCTTCGCGACAGCGCCACGACCCCGGGAGGCGCAGTGCGGCGGCCGCCAGGGGGAGCAGTGCTGGGGAGGGAAATGCAGGGAGGGGGCGCCCGGCAACCCCGAGCTCGGAGCCCAGCGGCGGGAAGGAGCTAGAGCGAGTCAGGGAGGAGGCGCGCGGCGGCGCGTAGCCCGGGCGCGGGGGCGGAAGCCGGGGGCGGGCCGGGCCGGGGCGGGGCCGGCGGGCTGGTGGCGAGCGCCCGGGGAGCGCGCCCGGGAGCGAGGAGGGAGGAGCGAGGGGAGCGCGGGCAGCCGCCCGCCCCCGCCCCCGCGCCGCCCGCACGCAACAGTTCCCCCAAAGTTGCAGTCCGGGAGGCGGGCGCGCTGGGGCAGCCGAGGGGCGGGCAGTCGGCTGGGGACGCGGCCTCGCGGCCCAGCGTGAACAGTCCCGGCTAACGGCGGCGGCGGCATGGGCACCCGGCAGACCAAGGGCAGCCTGGCGGAGAGGGCCAGCCCCGGCGCGGCTCCCGGCCCCCGCCGGGAACGGCCCGACTTCTGGGCGTCGCTGCTGCTGCGCGCCGGGGACAAGGCGGGGCGCGGCGGCGCTGGGCTGCCCCCCTACCACCGGCGCGTCGGCATGGTCCAGGAGCTGCTGCGGATGGTGCGCCAGGGACGGCGGGAGGAGGCGGGGACGCTGCTGCAGCACCTGCGCCAGGTGAGCGCGGGGAGGGGGTCGGAGGGCGAGCCGGTCCCAGGAGCGCCCCGCCCCTTCCCGGGGACGCCCGGAGCTGCGAGGGGCACTGCCCAGGATCCCCCTTGAGCGAGGATGGGGGCCCGCCTGGCAGCAGGTGCCTCGGTGCTCCAGCTGAATTTGGGGCCTCAGGGTAGGGTAGAGGAAAGCTGGCCGGGTGAGGCCCGCTGAAGTGAACCTGTTGGACCAATATTTGTTTCCGCTTATTTCCTCCGCATATCTCCAGGGATAGTTAGTGGGAGGGGATGCAGGGATGCGTGCCTGGTCTGGTCCAGGGCTCTTTTCTTTCTCTCTACCCACTGATCATCACCCTCTGCCAAGGGTCCTCGAGGAATGCACAATTGTCTGCTGATCCTCACCTGCTGCCTACTGAGGAGAAGTCCAAGGGCATGGCCCTAGGGCTAATAAGACACCGGTCCCTAGGTTGTTTACCTACCTGAATTGTGGTTCAAGAGTTTCATCTCCCCGTACTTTGATAGGTCCTCAGGAATGAGCGCTTGTCAAAAGTCTAAAGCCTGTAGACACAGGAGCTAGGTTTGGTGTACTGGCCAGCAGGAACTTCAGGAGGCTGCTGGACTCTGCCTTCAGCCTGGTCCTGTCTCACTGGTTAGGGACAGTTCTGCAGATCTGGCTAGTTCCCTCTGTTTGGGGGCTGCCCTGGGCTTGATGGTGTCACCTCTTTGGCTTGTTTTTCTTTCTCATTTCTTTTTGAGGAAAGGGGTGGCTTGTGCTATGGATTTTGGTGCATGGGAAAGAGGCAGGAGGATGCAAAGCTGCCCTGTGAATTGCCAAACAGGTTGTCTTGACCTGGCCTCCAGGATAAACATGTCCAAGCCCCGTATTCCTGCTAGATTGACCCCAGTAGAGATGCATATGGGAGAGGGGGAACCTCAGGTGACCTTTGTGAGATCCTCCCATTACTGATGAAAGAGGCTATAGGAGCGCCTTCTTGGGAGGAAGATCCAGTCAGATCCACATCTCTCCTGGGTTCCGTAGCACCCCCCGCCCCCCCCACACACACATTTTTATATCTGGTGAAGTGTTACCCTTGAGTGTGTGTTCCCAAGGCATGCACCGCACAAAGAAAGGGAAGCAGTGTTTTGGGGACTTGGGAAAACATGAGGCTTCTACCGTTGCCTCTGCTTTTCCAAACAACATCCAGAAAGATGACCCAGACACTGCTGGATCCGCAGGTGCCTTCCCTAAATTGAATCATCAAAGAAAGATGACATTCCATACCACTTAACTTCGGTGGCAGCTATTTCTCTTTGTCTCCTGAATTGGAAATCAACATAAGGCCTTTATGGTAACTCTTTCATTTCAAACAGAATAATGGATTTTCCAGACCATCATATCTCATTTGCACACTAGATAGTAAGAAGGCTTCACTGATCACGTGCTGTTCCCTGGTCGTGGGAGGGGTGCTTTGGGAGATCCACAAACCCTTCTTAGGGATTAAGAGAACATAGTGAAGCCAACATCCTCAAGCTCTAGTTGGAGGCCCACAGGAGGAGGCTGGACTCAATTTGTGCTCCCCAGTGTTCCCACGGTCCTTGACAGGGAGCACTTCCTCTGCATATGGGTCTTACTGGTCTGCTGTCACCCTCAGTGGCAGGACTAGGAGGGCTGATGGAGGAAAGTAGGGGTTAATCAGACTTCCCCTCTTTTCTGGGGCTCCCTTGACCTCTGGCTGATGGATGAGGGCTGTGGGTCTAGAGGGATGCCCCACATTGTCTGGAATGTAGGGATCAGGACCCCTCCAGGAAATGGTAAATGGGCCCCGGGCAGTGTGGGAGGAGAGCCCAGCAGTATCCAAATGTCCATGACAAATGAGAGGGGGTTTTCTAGGGCTCTGAGACCCACAGGAGTAACGTCCTGCTGAATTTGTGCTGCACACTGAAGTGGCTCTTTCTCTCAAATTGTATTTCATTTCCAATTTCCTCCTCTAATCTGGAGGTACTGATGTTCAGAAAGGGATGATCAGTCAGTGAGAGAAGTGAAAATGCGCAGGATCTTGAGGGTCAGACCAGGGAGAACTTGTTCTTAGCACAGTAGGCAAAGATGGGGTTCGCACAGTGCAGGGTGCTCAGTCCCTCCAGGATATTGTCTGGGATCTTGAGGAACAGGGTCAGGGAGCCACAGCAGCCAGAACAGTGATGATCACCCCATTTGCATAACATGTTCTCCTATGTTTGATACGTGTTTGGTGGCCAAACGTGTGTATGTTCAGAGCATGCACAGAGTTGGAAGGGACTCAGGTCCTTAATACCTGTGGTTCTCAACCTCTTTTGAGTTGTTGATCTTCCTATTTTTTGGGGGGGTCGGGGGAGGGGAGCAGTAATTGGAGATTGGACGCAGGGGCACTTTATCACTGAGCTGTATCCCCAATCCTTTTTATTTTTTACTTTGAGACATGGCCTCACTAAGTTGTTGAGGCTAGTCTTGAACTTATGATCCTCCTGCCTCAGCCTCCCAAGATGCTGAGAATATGCATGCGTCACCACACCTGGCTGGGTCCTTGATCTTCCTAAGACCCTAGAAAAGCTATACATACTCTTCCTAAACACATGCACCCCCATACACACAGTCCTGAAAGGCATTTCAGAGGGTTCCCAGAGACCCTTATCACGGTCTACAGAGCCTAAATTCCAACTCACTGCTCCAGTCTGATAGCTCCGTTCCCCCTGTTGTGTGATTTGCTTCAGACGGGGTGGGGGGGGGGGATGGGCTGATGGATCGTGGCTGCTGGTGCCATCCCTGAATGCCCCTCTTTTATGTCTAGGATTTGAAGAATGCTTCTTTGCTTGAAGTCTCTCCAGCTTGCTACTTGCTGGAAAGGTATCAGGAAGCCTTTCTCAGAATTCAAGGGTGCAGGCAGGATGCCAATTAGAGAGCAATCCCCTTCCCTTTAGGGGTAGTATAATTAGAGAAGAGCTTGGGGCCAGGGATCAAGCCTAGGTGGCTTAGTCTGCTGTTACCTCAGACCCACAGATAACCTCTCTGTGCTTTCTTGTCTCCCAAAAAAAGGGGATCTGGGGTACTGATCAGATCAAATGCTAAAAAGTATGTGAAATTGTGTTGACACTGCCAGTCAAGACATATTCTGAGCCAGATGCAATAGCACACATAGAAACCCAGTTACTTGGGAGTGTCAGCCAGGAAGATTAGAAATCTGCTACTAACCTAGGCAACTTAGTGAAACTCTGTCTCAAAAAATAAAAAAAATTGGGGGCTGGGGCTGTAGCTCAGTGGTAGAGCGCCTGTCTCACACATATGAGGCACTGGGTTCAGTCCTCAGCACCATATAAAAATCAATAAAGATATTGTGTCCAAGTACAACTAAAAATATATTTAAAAAATTAAATTAAATTAAAAACTTAAAAACAGACTGCAGATGTAGCTCAGTAGTAGAGCACTTGCCTAGCATGGGTGAGGCCATAATTTTAATCCCCAGCACTGCAATAAATAAATAAGGCTTGTTTTCACAGCAACCATAGTAAGAAATAGGAAAGTGGGGCTGGGGCTATGGCTCCGCAGTAGTGCACTTGCCTAGCATGTGTGAGGCACTGGGTTCGATTCTCAGCACCACATATAAGTAAAATAAAGGTCTATCAATAACTAAAAATACATATATTTAAAAAAAAAAAAGAAATAAGAAATAGGAGAATCTGCCCTACTTGGGATATAGCTAGGCTAGAGACAGGGTCATGGCATCCTTTCCTTTCTGAGAAGTTTCTGAATTCTCTCTACCTGGTCAAGGTTTAGTATGGATCAGAAGTTTGGAAATGGTCTGGAGATTTCTCGTGGGGACAAAAAGAAGCTACTTTGGAGAGAAAGTCCATTCCAGTCCTGTTCCCTATACCCCCTCTCCACAGGCCTTCCCCTGTGCCAGATGGCTCTCAAGGCTGGGTCTCAGGCTTGCCATCTCTAAGGAGTTTTGGGGAAAGAAATGACCTTCTGTCTTAGAGAGAAGGTGAAGAGCTAGGCTCCTGGAAGATGGGGTATCATCTCATCAGCCCATCAGTTTCTCTTCAATCTCCCAAATTCCACACTGGGAACACCACTGTTGAATTCTTCATGGAACACCAGAATAAGAGGTCTGTTGCCCTCTGTCACAGGTTGCCCATCTCTACATGTTCACCAGATCCCTACTAGGTTGGTCAGCTTTCTGTTAGTGTGACAAAATATCTTGAGATCACTAACTTATAAGGAGGAAGGTTTACTTGGTCTCACAGTTTCAGAGGTTTCAGGCCATAATTGCAGGGCCCCATTGCCATTGGGCCATAATGAGGCAGAACGTCATGGCAGGGAACATAAGGCAGAGGAAGCTGCTTACCTCTTGTCAGCCTGAAGCAAAGAGACACAGGAAAGCTTCAGAACAGTTGCACTATCCCCTTTAAGGACATGCAGCCAGTGATTGGAAGGCCCCCAATAAGCCCCACCTCTTAAAGGTTATACCGCTTCCCAGTAGAGCCATGTAACACTAAACTAAGGCATTGCACCTACTTTTCCATAAAGAGAATGTGATTGGGTTGGTTTACTGTCAATATAGCGCACCTCTCCTGGGCAAAGCTGTTCCAGTGTTAGCCTGCCCGGCCTCACCCAGCAGTGTGGTTTGGACTGGAATTCCTGATGCTTTCTGCTGTCCAAGATAGCTAAGCTGGCTTCACTCTGTGCTTGAGAGCAAGAGCCACATCAGCCAAGCGAAAAAGAATCACCCAGGACTTCAGTGTCATGCATGTCCTAAGAGGAGTGAATAATGGAGGCCCTCTGGTGACTCCAGGTCTCTCCTACCTAGAGATAGAAAGATTAGCAGGATGACCTTTAGAGGTGACCTTTTTCCTCCTACACCCTGGCTAAGAAAATCTCTATAGGTGAGTTGGTTGGAAGGCCACCAGTCACTGATCAGGGAAGTCTCCACTATTGGCCTTGCCCTTATTCTTCCTCCACCTTAGAGTGCATTT